TAAACAAATAAAATTTAATTATGAAAGTTTACTATTTGCTTTTAAAATATAAAAATTAAATAAAATAAACTTTTTTTATGTCAGCCGATTCATTTAATGGAGGGTAAAAATATGTAAATGAGAGAGGCTAATAAAGATTGAGAAATAAAGGGCAAATTTAAAAAATCTATACATATACGTGTATTTATGTTGCACTATTAAATGTCAACAATCATGTTTATTTGCCAATTTAAAAGATGATGAAATATAGTGCCTATCTGAACTACTGCCGATCTGTCCAATTACGGGTAGGTTGTTCAGCGGTAGGTTGGCCTCCTACCCTCCATACAGTTTAAAAACTGAAGGGGTTGAGGCTAAAAGTCGGTTAACCGGCTTTGTCCTACCCTAATTTAAACAATTGACAGATTTTGGTTGAATATTTTATAAAATATATACAAATTAGATATTTAAATAAAATATATGAAATATTTCTTATATAAAATTTTTCAAATAATAATCAAAAAATTTAAAACAAAATCAGAAATCTGTAATAAAAGTTTAGTAAAAAATATAGTAAAGGCTTTATCTTTAATAAAGAGGTATGTTATATGTATGACATAAAAGAAAATTTTTCCGAATTATATCTATTTTGGCATCCCTTTTATGTACAAGTTTGTTTACATAATAGTTTACTTAAACTTTTTCCAAAAAAATAAACTTCTTCAACTCTTTTTTAAGAATTTCAAGAACTTCTTCAATTGTTGGGCGAGAATCGAGTTTTGGATTTGTGCACATCTGAAATTTCGTTTTTACTTACTGTAAATTTATTAACTCTTTCACCATTCTACAAAAAAATAAACTGATTGCCGGGCCAAATAGCAGTGGGTAAATTATAGAAATTCAGAAAAAATTTGGATAATAGGAAGGCTATGCTAATAAACCCTCAAAGAATACTTTTTCCGAAAGGAAAAAGCATTTTACTTTATCAAAATTACTAGCTATACAAATTGTACTACTATGTATTATTAAGGTTATTTGCTCAGACGATCGGTTAGCGGAAGATTAAAAAAGAATAGTCAGACATATGCTCTAAATTAGTCCAATATTGAGGATAGCTCATTTAAAACTAACATTGAAAAAACATCTTGTTTTAGGTATCCTGCTATATGTAATAGCAGTCTCCCTTTATTTCTTATTGAAGGGAAGAACAATCGGGACTTTTAGAAGATTTATTTTAATAAAAATTGTAAAATCCAATCTTTCACCCTTGCCTCAATAAGATGATTCAAGTGCTTAAAATTCTGTCCACGTTTTCCAAGAACTTTCAAATCCAATTTTTCAAGATGTTTTTGCGGACTGTATATCAACTTGTATATAATTACTCCAAATGAGTAAATATCTGCTTTTTTAGATACCTAAAAATATTTTTTTCCTTTTTTTAAAATTTTTTTCTGTCATCTCCCATTGTATTCACTATCTATCCTAAAAAATTTATGAGGAAATACGAATACCGTCAGGCATTTTCCATTAGCCATGGGGATGGAATTTTATAAGTAAAACAAAAATTGAAAAATTTTACTTTTAAAATGAGAGTGTAAGTTTGAAGTTATATAAAACTAAACCGTAAATTATTATTATTAGAGACAATGATTAAAGAATGAATAGTCTAAGAAATTATGCCAAACTGTCACAATCAGTTGATAACCTGAGAAAATAAGGGAAGGAGAAGAAAATGAGTAGAATGCAGCAAATTAAAGGCTTATTACGTGCGAACAACCTCTTGCAAAAGAGTGAAAGCGAGATATCATTTACCATGCTAAATAATCTACATAAATTTACCTGGTTAATTTCATTTCTATCAATTTCTGGAGCAATGTACATATTTGTTCCTAATATTTCCTTTGATATGTTTATTATTTCAAAATTTCCCATAAATTCACTTGTACCAAAATCAATCAGTTTGAATACAGGAAGATTATTTTGATCCCTTTTACCAGTTCTAACAAAATTTTCAGGCTTTATATCCAAATGTACAATGTTTTCTATAAAAGATTTTTTCTATTTAGCTAATAGTAATTTTTTCTTGATCTACTTACAGAATAAAATCAACTACAGAAAGTCGTTAAAATTTAAAATTTTTACATTTTCAAGGAAAATAATGTACGAAGGAAGTACTAGGCAAAAAATAGGCTTTGATCTCGTATAACTCAACAAAAGTTTGTGGTCTTACAAAATGATGCGATCAGTCAGGGGCTATCAATAGCTTAGTAGATGGTCTAGTCTAGGGGCTAAGAATTAGGAATTCATGCAAGAAGCTCCAACAAGTGGCTTTGTTCAAAGCTTCAAGTTCAAGTTTTAACAGGCTTAATTAAATTAAAATAAATTTCTACCATCATGCAATTGCTTGAGTGCTTCAGCCGCACTTATTAAAATTTCAGTTAAATGTTTTGCGATATTCTTTTGGCCCTTCTTACTCTCATTATAATATTTTAATAAATTCATTTCTCCAAGTTCTAAAACAATTGATTCAAATTCATGGCTCTGATTGTCAATTTGCATTGTTTTTTCCTCACTTAAAAAATTAAAATATGAAAATGATCTGAATATGTTCTTTGAAAGAGAAAACATTTATAAAAATTCACCGTTAAATTTTTATATTTTATTATGCCGCTTATTCGCAAATATAAAATGTAAGTTTTGATATCTTTAATTTTAGTGATAAAACATTTCAAAAGTCTTATTAAAAGTGTTTAAAACTAGAGCCCAGAATTTTGTAACGTACCATACTACGGTAGGAACCTCTATAAGTACCGAAAAATACTGTCGGTACCCGAGTACCATCCGTGCTTCAGTAACATAAAAGACACAACATTAACGCTGGAAGTAAGGGGGTCGTTTTAATATAAGGGTTCGGTCTAATAGAGACAGTCGGTTTATTTTCAATTCTCCTCTAGATGGGACGGTTTATTAGAAGGGGTCGGTCTAATAGAAAGAGTCGCACTATTAGGAAAAATACGGTACTAGGTGAAAAACATGATAAAGCTAGAATTACTCAGCTATACAAAAAGAGCTTACTGTCCAAAATATTCGACAATGCGAATAGGTTCATTAATCTCTTTGTTTTCACCCGGTCCATAAAAATGTTCGAGAACCGCAATTTCTTTTCTTACAGCATCTTTCGTTTCATCACTATTTTTAATTAAAAATTTAATTGCAACACATCTTTCTTTTTCAGGCCATATTGCATGGAAAATTTTTACTTCTCCGTTCTTCCCAGTATATATTCGGGGTTTTACAACCAATAAATCAGTTGAAGCAAATTCTTTATCTTTATTTTTTAATTTAAAAGTAACTTTTTCCACAGTTGTTTTCTTCCCACAATAACATTGTCTTGATGTAACCGCTGCTTGGTGGGAGGAAGATGCTCCTGCTAAATATTAATTTTTTTCGTAAAGATAAACGGGGAAAAGTTGATTAAAGAATTTTATTTTTCTGTTTCGATAGTCATTTTAAGTTATTGAATGTGCCCATTGTTTACAAAAATTTCCAATATTTAAATTCGGCATATTCTTGAAAGCCATGGATATGGGCTTTAATTAGAGTACGTCTACCGAGTAATTGGGAAAACCCGAGCTCGAGTAATCCGAGTTTGAAAAACCCAAGTTCGAGCTCAACTTTTTTGGCCGAGTTCGAGTAACCCGAGCGATCGAATCGAGTAACTCGAACTCGCTCGACTCGGACGTTCTCTAGTTTTAATCACAATTTTTTCACCAATTTTCTCTTTAGCTTTCATCGGTTTCTTTCCTTTGTTCAATCGTTGACTTCCCACAGCTGCCGAATTCTGTTTTCGACAAGTATTGTCAACTAAAAGCTTACTTTGACAAATAAATTTTTTGGGGAAGCTAGGTCCCAAGAGTTATTGAATAAAGTGAATTTAAATAAAATATTTATCTTTAAAATTAAAAATACAATTAAATATTTTTATAAAGAATTAATGGAAAATTGAAACTGAAGATGATAGGGAAGATCTGCCTATTGTTTATATAGGGGATATAATGGACAATAGGCAGAGATTTAAACAATAGTGAATAGAGAAGTGATATGGAAAATAGTATTAACTAGGGGTGAAAAGACAATAGTTTCCGGAAAAAGAAGAGAGAAGAAGGGGTCAAAGTGGCAGCTTATGGGAAAATAATTTATGACATTGTCTGTCGTGGACAGGTGGAATAAAGGGAAAATTAGAAAGAAATATTTAAATTTATTAATAATTATAATTTCGTGTTCCTTACACGACACTGGCGGCCGCGCGAAGACGTATTTCCTCGCTTCTTTCTTCTTCGTCTTTCTTCTCATCTTTAATTTTCCTCATTATTGTGTTCATGATTATTTCTTCTGTTTTTTCTGATTCGGGTGTTTTTCCTATCATTATTAATACCTGTGCCAAGAATCTTCCAATTCTAGTATTTTTTATATATTTAAGTAGAAAAGGGAGAATATTATCGAATAGCCAAATGTAAGTTATATACAGAGCTACCATTCTAATCCACATTTTTTCAAGATTAATTTCCCAAATTTTTTCAAGAATGCTTGTTAGCGGATTTTTAACTGTTTCTTCGGTGTGTACGTATTCTCCATTTTTTATTGCATTTTCTATTTTTTCCTGTTCAAATTTTTTGTCTATTCCATATGTTTGGAACATTTGGAGAATTTCAATTCTAGGGTCACTATAGTTCTTTATAATTAAATTGTGGAATGCATGTGTTTCAATTTGAGGGAGGTGTATTGGCTTTTGTAGGTCGAGTGTTAATTCATGTATTTGTTTTTCATTTATTTCTTTACTTTTTCCTGTCTTTTGATCAATCCTCAATAATTTTTTCCCAATAAATATAGTTATAAATCTCTCATATGAGCAAGGTGTTTCGCTTGCTTTCTCTACTATAGTTAATGTTTTTGGTTCAAGAAATGCTTTTATTATTTTTTCCTTTAACGTGACATTTACTGGAATCTCTTTGTAGCATTTTTCATTCGGTAGAAATGTGATGTTCTCATAAGGTATTGGAAAGCATGTTCTTGTTTCTAATATTTCATTGGATATCCATTTACCTAAGACATATGGTGTATTCATGATTAACTTAGCTACAATGTTGCTGTCGGTTCCACTTATTAATTTGTTTTGGTGTTCTCCGTTAATATCTTTGGCACAAAAGATACTAGTCAAATGGTTAAATACTTTTTTAACTTTCTCTGTAGAGAGTATTTCAGTGGCTGTTAGTTCTGCGGCTAATTGGTTACTCAAAATTAAACCGCTTCTTGTGTTTTTATTTTCTCGCTTTCTTCTTATTTTTTCTTTTAAGCTCAATATTTGGTATTGCTGCGCTGGTACTGCATAGCCTTGCTCGCTTATGATTAATTCTTTATTACAATCTATTATTTTTGTGGGGTTATTTGTAAATGAAATTCCTATCTCTTTATTATCAGCTAACCAAATTCTACCCATCCAAGTGCCTTTCCATTTCCTAACTCTTGAAAATTTACACATTTTTTCGTTTTTTTCTTTATTTTCTGCTTCCCAAATAATCAGTGAATCATCTTCTAAAAGACAAGCTGCGTTTTCATATCGGCAATGTGAAATATCAACTCCTGGGGAAAATATTGAAGATGAATCTGGTTTAGCGTAAATGCTTATTTTACTTAGGAAACAATTTGATTCGCTTGTTTCTTGATATCCGATTGACCAATAAGAGTATTCTATTTTCGCTTTATTATTTGTATGACTTGTATTTCTGTTTCCAGTTAATTCCCCTAATCTACATTTTGATTTTTTCCATATTCTGTTGCATTCTTCTATGCTTATTTCTTCTTTTCTGTTTGTCGAAAAAATGTGTGGTATGTTTAATAAATCCTTTTTGTATTTGTAATTTGTGCTTAATATGGAGCAATGTGCAGCTGGTATTGGAACAAGGTCTATATTTGGTTGATAGATGTCAAAGCTGTGTGTTGTAGGGAGAGGTGGATTTTCTGTAAAATTCACACAAGGTTGGTGATTTTTCTTTATTCTCCAATACATTTGATTTTTCTGTCCTGGGCATATCATTGGAGATTGTAGGAGACTTCCCGGTAACATAATTGCGAGGATGCAAAAAAGAAGTATATTATCCATAACTTTTCGCTTTTTATGTTTCGCTCTTAGTATGCTACTTTGTTCTTTAATCACCTCGTTTTCTTCATTTCTTGGGATCTCTAGGCTGTATAAATGGTTAGGTGGTCGAATTAATATTTTGCCATTTCCCAATTTTAATTTTATTGATCTGTTTTTGTTATTTTCTATTACTTTTCCAATTTTCCAGCAGCCTTTTGGTAACTTTTCATCATAAATTTGAACTATCTCACCTACTTGCGGGGTTCCTTTTGCCGAAAATTTGGGATTATTATGTTCATCTTTTCTTTCTCTTAACATTATTAGATAATTGATTGACCAGTATTCCCAAAATTTATTAATAATAGTATTGTGTTTTTTCCACTCAAAAACCATTTTTTCAGCCGAATCTGCGTTTGTAAGATAATCTGGGTCCTTTTCTAATAATATTGGTGGAAATCCCTGATGAGCGAACGGGTATGTGAAATCAATCGGTCGTAAAATTATAGTTTCTGGTTCATCGTCTATTTGGATTAATGGTCTACAATTTATGATGGCTTCGACTTCACAAATGAGTGTGTTAAAATCATCATTGTCTATTATTTTTCTTCCTATTGATTTCCTTATATTGGATTTTATCATTCCGTTGATCCTCTCATAGACCCCTCCCTCCCACGGTGCAAGTGGCGTTATAAATTTCCAATTAATGTTTTCTTCAGCGAAATACTTTTGTAGTCCTTCGTCGATTATCTGATCCGGTTTAATTCTTTTCAATGTTTTTTCTGCCAATCTAAAACTGGAACCATTATCCGATAATATATAGTCTGGTCTAGTTCTCCTAGCGACAAATTTTCTGAAAGCATTTAGGAATGCGTGTGTACTGATACTAGTAACTACTTCGAGATGGATGGTGCGAGTTGATAGACAAGTTAATAGCAAGATCCACCTTTTACTGCGTTCTTCGTCAATGTCTTTCACTATTATTGGTCCCATGAAATCTAACCCTGTATTCTGAAAAACTCTAGATGGCGTTATTCGTGATTCTGGTAGTGGTGGCATTTTAGCTAATTGGTATGGTTTAAGTCGCTGGCATTTTTCTAGACAACTTTTTAGAGTATTTTTTACGAGATTTCTTGCTCTAGGTATAAAATATGTCAATTTTAAATTGGCTAATGTTGATTGGAGACCCGAATGCTGTCTTGATTTATGCTCATTTAGTATTATGTGTTTTGTTAATGGATCGTTTCTGGGTAAATATATTGGATTTGCAAAATCATAGCCGTTTGGTAAGTTCTGAAGTCTAGTCTTGCACCTTAAAATGTGATTTTCGTCGTAGAATAAATTTAGCGTTTCTATTTGTTCTGTAGGGAGATTTTCTCGCGCTTGTGCTTGCTTGATTAATAATATTTTAGCAATTTTAATATCGTTCGCATCGAAGTTGCCTTTTATCTTGATTTTAGAGAGCCATGGTTGCTTTATTTTATTTAATTTCGACCAAATAGTTATATTAAGGAATCTAAGTATGAACATAGTGGTGTATATGAGTTTCCAAAAAGAGCTGTATTTCTCAACTCTTGGAATAAAGTCATTTTTCTCTCCTACGTCTACTAATTTGTAACATAACACTGGAGTTTGAGGTTCGGGTTTAATTGTGAATGATTGATTGTTAGGCCAATTCTGTTCATCTTTTCCTAACCATAAAGGTCCTTTCCACCAAAGACTATTTTTAGCTAATTCAGGGCCCGACGAACCTTTACTTCCAATATCCGCTGGATTCTCGTCCGTGGGAACATATCTATACTCGATTTCTTTATTTTGTCTTATTTCCATTACTCTATTATTTATGAAGGTTTCTTTATTTTTACTAGTTTTAATCCAAGAAGTAGCAATTAAAGAGTCGCTCCAGAGTATTGTTTTTTCTATTGGCTGTTTTATCTCATTGGTTACAAAGGAAATAGCTCTGGTTCCTATAAGAATTGCGAGAAGCTCCAATCTAGGGATGGTCAACGTTTTTTCTTTGCCTTTAGGAACAATTCTATTTTTAGCAAAAATTAGGCTTGTATTTGTTTTATGGGGACATGTAATTCTAAGGTATATATTTACAGCGTAAGCTTTCATAGAGGAATCAGCGAAACAGTGCAACTGTAGAATTTCGGTGTTATCACATCCATGGATTATTTTTCTGGGCCTGCTGAATTCCTGTTCTACCCAACCATCTATTATTTGATTTATTTCATTTAATTCGTTTTCTTCTAATTTATCATTCCAATTTATGTTACGAGCACAAATTTTTTGATAAAGAAGTTTAGCTGGAAGTAATGTTGGACCAATCAATCCCAGCGGATCGAAAATTGAGTGAATCAGTGACAGAAGTTCTCTTTTTGTCATGTTTTGATAATTACCCCCTGGTAGTTTTTGACAATACTCATCCTTTTCTATTTCCCATTTTATTCCCAGGAATTTAAGGGATTTGGATTCTATACTAGGGTGTTTGTCATCTTCTTCGAACATATTATTTCCTTCGACTGAATTGCAACAAAATTCTCTAACTCTCATTTTTGCTTTATTAAATATCTGAATTAATTCTCTATATTTTTCTTTTATCTCGTTAGTATTTTTAGCCCCAAGAATTATATTGTCCATATACAAATTTGTTTTAATTTCCTCACACAAAGGACTTTTTATATTCTCGAGATGATGTAATATTGTAGCTATAAGGAGAAATGGACTTGAAATGACGCCGAACAATACGCGGGTAAATCTGTAGCTGATTAAATTTGTGTAGTCTGGTTGGTGTTTTATATCTTTTACCCAGAGGAATCTAGTAACATCCCTGTCTTCCGGTCTCAATTGGATCTGTAAAAAAGCTTTAGCAATATCAGCGATCAACAGATTATTAAACATAAGTGTTCTGATCAGTATGCCGGGTAATTGTGGAAGTAGGACAGCTCCTCTAAGTAATTCATTATTTAATGGTGTTTTTCCAGAGCCTGCATCGAATACGACTCTTAATTTAGTGAATGATGAAGAACTTTTGAAAACAGGTTGGTGAGGGAGGTAATGGACTATGTTTGTGTTTTTTGGTGCTATTTCAATCATATTTAAATCCAACTGTTCCTTAATCGTTTTGTCAATTGTTTCCAAAACTTCGGGGTTTTCTCGGTATTTTTTCCAAAGAGATCTGAGTCGGCCTAATGAAACCCCAAAATTCGTTTGTAGTGTCCTTTTCGATTCGATTCGCCACGGCCAGCCTACTTCATAGCGTCCATCAGGTAATTGGTTGATTGACTCCCTGAATTGCTTCCAAGCTATTTCATCATCTGGAATGGTCAATCCCGGATCTCGAATACCAATAGTCTCTAGGTTCCAAAAATCTTTTTCCTCTACTTTTTCAGTAATTTCTCCAACTGCCGACATTACGTATTGTGTTTCATCTTGTATCTCAGCTTCCTTTATTTTCGCTCTGCCGCAGATTATAGGTCCTACTTTTGTGCGGAGCAAGAATCTCTGGTTGGATAAATTTTCAATATTTTCTAAGAGTTTTAAGACGTCAGACAATCCAAAAAGTATGTCAGGAGTGCGTTGCTTTACTTCGATTTCTTTATCATCGTGTAACCAAAATTCCCTTGGATCACTGGGACAATAGATTTTCATTTGATCTAAGTTGGGTGTAGTATACCCTTCGGCAGAAGTAATAGTTCCATTTTTCAATTTAAACTCGATTTTGATCCTATATGATGTGAAGCGGGACTTTTTACCAGCGTATCCATCTACTTCGAGTTCAGTTTTATGTTTAATTTCCGAATCTGAAATCCCTAGTTTTTGTGCAAATCGCTCACTAATCAAGGTACAAGTGGCTCCTGGATCCATTAGTGTGAAACCTCTAATTGATTCTTTTCGACTATTTAAGTATTCAATATTTTTAGTCATTAGCAATGTTTTTATATTTTTGTCTTTCAGCGAGAGAGTGTTGATCTTTTCTAATTCCCTGTTATTTTGTGTACTATTTACTTCCATTATGTCTATCAGGCAGTTCATATCTTCTTGGGAAAATCCTGGATCTGTATTTGTATTCTCACCTGTGTTTTCTCTTATATTATGAATATTTTCTCGTTTGATTGTGTTTTTGGGACAGACAGCAAAGTAATGAGGTTGTGTGCAACTCTGGCATTTTATCTTATTATTTTTACAATATTTGGCAATATGATTCCGCTCGAAACATTTGGTACATTTTCTCAAATCTTTCAACCTTTGTATTCTGGTCTCAAAATTTATATATTTTTTACATTGGACGGAACTGTGATTATCGATCTCACAAAAGACACATGGCCTTCTCTTTTTATTTGTTTCATTGGAATATCTATTTATTTCTGGTTTTGGTTCCCGCCAATTAGTGTTTTTATCCCTCTCTATATTATTAGTAAATACATTATGATTTTGGCGAGGAGGAGGGCGTCTATAATTCGATGAGGAACTTTGGCCATAAACCGCTTCTTTAATTTTTAGATGCTTGTCAATTGAGTCTAGGAGTCGGTTAATAGTCCAATTAGTGGGATTTTTATTTTGCTCTTCAAGTATGACACAACTAGCCCATCCCCCGAATTTGTTTTCAATTTGTTGTAGCAGTGCACCATTGTCGATTTCTTCTCCTAATGCCTTCAATTGCTGTGTGATTCGATGTACATTTATCCAATTTTGACGAACGTCTTCAGTTTTTAATGCCCGAGGACAAAGCTTATTTAATTCCCCATACAATGATCGTTTAACTGAGATCTCATCCCCAAATCGTTTCCTAAGATGGTTCACTACTAATGGATAATTTAAGGCTGTTATTGCAAATCCGCTCACTTCACTATAGGGATGAGGACGAGCGAGGGAGGCAAGTAAATACGTTAGTTTTTCAGAATCGTCTAGACTATGATTTTTATCTATTGAAACTTCAAAAAGACTCCAGAAGCTTGGCCAGTCCGAAACCTTTCCATTAAAGAGAGGAAGATTACAAACTGGCAGTCGAATAGAAGTCGAATGTGCAACCGATGTATTGGCGACAGAATTATCATTATGAGACGACGAGGAGACTTCAATCAGCTTAGCTTCGATTTCACAACTTAGATCCCTCGCTATTTCGATTAGGGCTATAAAACCATCCTCCCCCTCCGCGTGGGTGTTATAATCTTTCAACATGTCCTCCTTCCTATCCTGCGCCTCGAGACCTATGAGCTTCGCCCAGTCTGTATTGATCTGTTCCAACACTTCTACAGATCTAGCTAATTTCAGTTGTTGTGCTCTCAGACTCGTTATACTTTCGGGGTTTACTCCATTATCTGATAATTCTTTGATCGACTTTATATATCCAATGGTTCTTTTCCTGAGTGGACCTAATCTCATTTTAAGCGGTCCCGCGAAAGTGCGATTTGCCATTTATTATTTTAATTTTAAATACAATTTTTAGCTGTATATTAAATACAAAAAATTAAAAGCAATTGTGTGTATATGGATATTTAAATTAATGCAATTGTAAGTTTGTTTAAATAGTATTTAAATTAATTATTCTTTTATTCTTTAATTAGAGCGGCTAGACGTTCAAACAAAGATGCACAAGCACGAGAGGTTTGTCCAATTTGCGAATACACTTCAGCAAGTTGTGCTGCTTTACGTACGGACTCCCCCTTCTTTTTTGCTTCGGCTATTTTCTCTGCTTCGCTCTTCTGTACTTCCAAGATTTGATTTTTCACTTCGGGCTTCTTTTGAGGAAAATTTAATAATCTTCTTAAAAAGACTATATTCACCTTTGGACACGTGACAGGAGTCTTTGAGTGAACACGATTGGGAATCACTGCTTCTGCTCGTGTCGTTTGATGATCCTGCTATTGGAAGGATTAGATTTGACCAGATAGCAGTAGTAAGAATTTTAGCCCTCTTGGTTCTCCCAGCGATTACAATTCGGGAGTTTACCTTTTTGTTATTGTTGTCGGTCCGGGAAGAGTGTGGCCTTTTATGAGCAGCGATCGGCAGTGAACGTCCGGCACTTCCAATTCTTGGAGTAGAGGGTGAACGAGGCCTTCTGGGAGTTTGCTGTTCAGCCAAGACTGGTTTTGTTTTCACAGCAGTGTCCGACGGTGGGTTAGACCTAATCCAATTACAAGGTAAGCAAAATTTATTAATGGGGCAAAGAGTTTTCTTTACAACAACAAACTTTTTGTGAGGTGGAGGCCAATCATCATCATCCTCAGAAGTATCTGTTTCGGTTGCCTTGATATCTTTACTTGGAACAGCAATTGGCTTCTGGTTATTACCACGAGTTGGATTGGAAGAGCCAGCAGTAGACGACGAGCTTGTATTAGTAGTTGTGGCGCGACCGGAAGATGTACAATTTAGTTTATTTTTTGAGCCAGAATCTGGAGTAGTTGTTTCAGGAGTAGAAACAAATTTTTTCACAACACAAATCAAGCAGTTGCAGTTAGTGTTGTCGGAATGCACGCCTTGAGCCGAGGCAAGTATTTGTTGAAGCACAGCAGGTTTAATTGATTCCGCCACTGAAATTTGAGTTATTAGTAAGATTTAGTCGGGGTGCCTCTCCCGGAGCACCACTTTTGTCAACTAAAAGCTTACTTTGACAAATAAATTTTTTGGGGAAGCTAGGTCCCAAGAGTTATTGAATAAAGTGAATTTAAATAAAATATTTATCTTTAAAATTAAAAATACAATTAAATATTTTTATAAAGAATTAATGGAAAATTGAAACTGAAGATGATAGGGAAGATCTGCCTATTGTTTATATAGGGGATATAATGGACAATAGGCAGAGATTTAAACAATAGTGAATAGAGAAGTGATATGGAAAATAGTATTAACTAGGGGTGAAAAGACAATAGTTTCCGGAAAAAGAAGAGAGAAGAAGGGGTCAAAGTGGCAGCTTATGGGAAAATAATTTATGACATTGTCTGTCGTGGACAGGTGGAATAAAGGGAAAATTAGAAAGAAATATTTAAATTTATTAATAATTATAATTTCGTGTTCCTTACACGACAAGTATTACCAGCATCCAATCCTTAAATAAAATTAAATTTGTTTAAGGATTTTAAAATTTGATTAAGTAAAAAATATATTTGTTTGTAAATTAACCTTTTAAATCTAATAATAATAAAAACAACAAAGGTAAAATTAACTTTGAAGTTAATATTTTCATTTGAAATTTGTTTTTCAAGGAAAGTTTTTTTTAATTAAATAATTAAATAAATTTTTTTACATTTATTTATATAAATAATCAATTAAATATTAATAATCAATTTAAAAAATTTTTTAAAAAAATGAGAGTGAAGGGATACAGGAGGAGGAGATGTGGGGAGGGGGGAGGGAGGAGAATAAGGAGAGGGGAATTGAATAGAAAATCTGAATAGTGGAGGGCAAAATAAGGGAGGAAATGCGCAGGTAAGTCTGGCAGTGGCAAAAATTTTTAAAATGGGATTTTATTTTTATTTATTGAAAAAATGAGAAGGAGAGGGAAGATGTTTAATTTTTTAATAATTGATTGGGGATATTGGGAATTAAAAAAAATTTAAAATTAATTTATAAAATGTTTTATTGTTAAAATTAAAAGTTTTTTAATAAAATTAGTTTTTAAACAATATTAATTTTGTAAACTCTAATTTCATTGAATAATTATTTGGGTAACCCTTCGTTAGAGAGGAAATTAAAAGTGAAATTAAAAGTTATATGTACAGTACTTATTTTTAAAAATACTTTATGTTTAATCAGTTTTTTCCAGAATTTTTTTAAAAAAGTTTGGGCATTTAAAGTAGTAATGTACACCAAGTGAATAATATTTAAGTTGATGCGAGAGCAATAACTTCAACGTATATTCATTTTCAATACTTCGATTAATTAAACGAAAACATTCATCCAATCTTTGAGCCCCTTCAATTAAACCTAATCTTCGTTGATTATATCGAAGTAAAATATTTGTGTATTTAACAGATTCGTTATAAAGTAATTCTTTTCCTTCGGGAGACAAGTCTTTAGCATCTTTTTTGATAAAAATTAAAGTTATTTAAATAAAAATTAAAAAAAAAATTTTTAATGATAAAGGGACATGTTTAGGCAGGTTCCGAGACGGGGGGGGGGGCCACGGGGAAAATTTTCGGGGAGGCAGCGCCACGGGGGGGGGGACGGGGACTGGGAAAATTTTTTTATTTTTCACGGGGGGGGGGGGGGGGGGCGGGGAATTTTCAAAAAAATCTCTCAAATTCCCCGACTTTCGGGGACGGGGAACAACCCTAATGTTTAGGCAGGTTTCCTATAGGCGTGAGCGTATACCATAGCCATAAACCCTTATTTCAAATTAAAGTTTTTACCCGATTTTGTAAAGATAATAGCTATTAACAAAGCAAATTCAACGTTTGTTAATGCAACACGTTTGAAGTGAACGACAGATTTTGTAAATGAATAGTCTGCCCATTTAAGCAACCTGAAAATATATTTCATATCTTCTCAATTAAAAATTTTTTTAAATTATTTTACAAGGTTCCGGCAAATTTCTTTCCTGTCCGTACCATATCTCGCTTTAAACGCCTTTAAATTTTATAATTTAGTCTGATAAATCTTATCAAAGTTTGAGCAAAATTTTTTGGATAAAATCATTTTGGCATGTACTAGCTTGTAATAAGTACAATGTTTATT